TGGGCAACCCAATTGTTGCACACTAGCCTGTGGGTCCCAGCGCCCCATCTCCAGCTGGAACTCAGGCTGTAGACTGCCCCCTGAGTGCCGGCTGCCCAGGGCAGGCAGCACACAATAGGATAAGTCTCACCCTATACTGCCTGGGGGGTTCTCCCCTGTCCAGCTGCCCCCCTGCCCATCCTGGCATGTCCAGAGCCAGGGCCTGGTGTGGGTAGAGCTTTGTCAAGATAGAGAACCTTGTTCTGCCCAGGTGGGCCTCCTGTCACAAGCCTTCTGACCCCACAGAAAGCCTCGGTTATTGAGTCGCGGACTCTGGGGCTGGACTCGCCCAGCAGTAGAGTTAATGGTTCTCCCTTGATCCCCTTTCTATCCTTACCCCTCTTCTCCAGCCTCTCTGTGGCCCCAACTCATCCCAGAACTGGGCATCAGCAGCCCACAGCCTGCCTCGTCTCCATGCCACCCCCCTGGACCACAAACTTCCAGAGCAGAGCCAGGGTTTCGAGTCTTGACCGGGGACACATGATCCTGCTGGCTTCTCTGTGTGATGCTGCAGACTGGGACTCAGGCAGCCCCAGAAGCAGCTGACCACAGTCTGGGAAAGTTGCTGTGGGGCTCCCCACCCCATTAAGGTCCTACCCCTCCCCCTGCACTGTCCTCCAGAGGAGTCCACCATTCAGGACCCCACAAAAGCCAAGCCAGACTCACAGCAGTGAGTTAGACAGAAGCGGGGACAGCCACACTGGCCGACAAGAGGGATAAAGTCTTGTGTTCACCTTCCTGGGACAGGAAGTCACAGACCGCTCCCACTGCCCTGGGGAGAAAGCATTCTCCCACCCCCCATTCTCCCTTCCCAGGCAGCCTTGAGGGAACAGACAGGATGTGGGGGCAACAGGCAGTTCCTAGTTCTCTCTGCCACATTCCCCAGCCAAGGATCCAGCCCCGACAGGGAGGCTGGAGGGGGGTGGAGGGGTTGGGAGCCCTGGTCATGTGACTCCCGCTCACCTCCCAGAGGCTGGTGTGGAGGAGGGGTGCTCTTGGGCCACTCAGAACAGGCATGTGGGGACAGCAGACAAGAGTTTTTCACCTTGGCTAGCCCACACCCCTTCAAACCCAGAGAAGCTCCCACCCGACAGAACTGCCCCTTCCCAAAAATGACAGACCTTGGAACATACAGGGGGGCAGTCACCCCACCCCTTTGCCCCACCTCCAGGAGTTTGCTCAACATCTGGGCCCTGTCTAGACAGATGTTTGGGCTTCTGCAGGAACATAAACAGCTGGTGTTCATTCACCTGGTCCCAGCCTCCCCCCTAGAAAAGGACCCTCCTCCAGGAGGTGCAGAACCAGCGAGCGGGAGGGGAGGGGAGGGGAAGAGGAGGAAGCCTGTCCCTTTGCAGGCCCAGGACCTGCTTGGCTCCAGGGCAGAAGATGGTAGTGTCTGGGAGGGGGGGTTGGAGGAGCACTGCTAATGTCAGAGATTGGAGCTGACCGTGACACGGCCAGAGACAGCCGGGAAGGCCAGACCACAGGCCCGCGCTCGGGCCACACCAGTCTCCTGCGCCCCGCCGGAGCCGCCCGCCGCCCACGCACCTTCCACGCAGTGCTCCACGTCCTCCAGGTTCCGCAGGGTGATGCGCATGAGGCTGGAGTTCAGCATCAGTTCGTTCTTGTGGGCTGGCCACAGGTATGGGGGTGCCGGATTCACAAAGAAGATCCTCGTGTCCCCCGTGGACACCTGGTTGTCACAAATGAGGGGGTCTCCAAAGCCACCAATCACCACCTTGTTGCCGCCATCCAACAGGCTCTCCTGAGTCACCACGTCTTTGCCCTTCAAGTACCGCCAGACCCGAACCTGGTAGGGGAGGGGAGGGGAGGGGTCAGCGATCTTCCCACTCGGCAGAGGGGGCCGCGGTGGCCCGAGATCAACACTAGACGAGACACCCGGGCCTCTTACTCTCTTCCCCTCAGTCACTCAGGCCCGACATCCAGAGTGGACCCCAACCCTGGGATGAGATATAAGGAGACTTTGGGTCAGCGCCCCAGGAGGAGGATGCAGCGAAGCGCACACAGGACCGATGCCACTGCCCATGTGTGTCACAAACGAGGCCTGTGAACACACTGTCTTTCCCAGGGAACAGCTCAGCTCCCCCACCCTCCAGCTCTAACTGACCCCAGCCACCCCAATCCCAACTATGTCCATGTCAGCTGAGGCTGGATCTGGGAAGGGGCCTGCCCTGGCCTGGGGTGCCTGCGTCCCGTGCCCTGCTCTCCCCGTCTGGCCCACCCCTTGGCAGAGCCAGGAGCAGCTAGCTGCTGGACTGTGGAGTTTCAGGATGACAGGCCCTGGGCCGAGGACTCTGGGCCAGCTTGGTTCCTTGCAGCCCTGTGGGTGGGCTAGGCCACCCTCCCCCTAGGAGGTGAAAGACCCCTCCTCCGCCGAGCTCCAGTGCAGTGCAGTCAAAGCCGCCCATGAACCACAAAATCAAGTTTGGGCAGCATCCGGCAGCCCCACCCTCCACACTCCTGCTCTTGGGGCCCTGAGGGCACCTGCTCTGACAAACCGTGCGGGAAGGGGGCGTCCCGGGAGGGCAGGTCCATGCGACACTAACCCTTGCACTCCAGAAAAAAAAAAACCTTTCTTGGGGACTTCTGGAATGAGGATGAAAGAATGGTGGCCGGTCTATCTGCTTAGTCCTGCTGGTGGCCTTGGGTCTGTGGCATCTGCAGGGACCACCCCCACCCTCTAGAGACCTGGGTGGAGTCTTAGCCAGCCCTCTCCCCCACCCTGGCCCCCCACACACAGTCGGCTTTCAGAGAGATAACCAGCAGGGGGGAGGCCCGGTGGCTTTCATGGCTCCCCCCACCCCAGCCACACCCAGGAGCGGCGGGGAGGAAGTTGGGAAAATCCTGCAGGGACTTGGCAAAGAGCCCCTCGGTGGAGGGGAGGGGGCCCAGTGGGGGATCCCAGCTGTGGCCTCCACAGGCCAATCTGGAAGAAGCTGCCACCCGCCTCCCAAGCTCCATGATCTGACTTCTGGTCACGAAGGTGGTTTTAGGGAGAGGGGGGCAGGCACTGGCTCCCCTGAGCCCTCCCTAGGAATGGACCGTGGTTACAAACCCACCATACCTAACCCAGGAGGCTCTTACTGAAGGAGACAACCGGCAAGCCCCCTTCCCTGCGGCCGGGGGAGATGCAGTTCTCCCAGACGCGCAATGGGGCGCCAGCCTGTCCCTGCCCCCCTCACACACTGGAGGCTCAGCAACGGCCCCGCCCACTTCTCTGCTCCAGCCCCCGCACCCAGTCACTCCAGCACCCCCCCTCATGACCGTCCCCTCTTGCCCTGGTAAAGGCCTCTGGGGAGGGGGTAGCAGCACTGACCCCAGGGGGAACCCCCACCTCCACCCCAGGCAGAAAACGTCACCTCCCCTATTCCTTCTCTCCGGCTGGTGGAGAGGGGTATGGTAGCCATACGCTCTCCCTGGGGGAGGCGCAATTGTCTCCAGTAAGGGAGTGGGCTTGGATGGAAGGGCGGATGTGATCGGCCCCCGGCCCGGGCACCGCCAGGTGGGACTGCAGCGGCACGCAGGAACTTTCCCTCCGGCGCCCGCGAGTTTTCCGGGACCGGGCGCCCCACCCCGGGGCTCGGCAGTCGCCAAGGGAGCAGGAGCTGCGGAGCGTCTGGGCTGGGTCCCACGGCCTGAGGCGGGGGGGGGTCTCTGGGGGGCGGCCAGCATCGCGAGGGGTGGGCCTCTGAGCTGGGGGGCTGGCATCGCTGGGGAAGAGGCCCCCAGCCCAGGCTTCCAGGAAGGCTC